GGGGGGGGGGGGGGGGGCGTTTGAAGAACAAAAAAAATTCGCGCAAGGGAAAATTAAATGAAAAAAATTCTTGCACGCCAATTAATCGTAAAAAAAATTCATGCTATGGCCTAAAAAAAATTCATACAAGGAATTTGATAACGAAAAAAAATTCCTGCGGCTCGAAAATTCCCCTCCCCCCCCCTTACTTTTCTAATTGTCCGTCCCTAAGTTGAAAAAGGATTTTACAAAAGTCTCAAGAGTAGGTTTCCTTTTCGATTTTAAGTTGCAATATCGGTCAGTTTACGCAACGTTTAAACTTCTGGCTCAATTTTCGTTTGGTTCTGCTTTGAACATGGAATAATAATTACTCAGAGACAATACGGTGTAAAGCATTGTTGAGAAAAACAGCAAAAACTTGCCAATTTATGACAAAAAAAGGTACTTTTAAAACGAACTAAAACATTCAAAACGCTTTGACCACGTGACTGATGACGTCTGTCCCTCTTTTGGTCATGAAAAAAATTATCAGGTAGAACATTACTTTTCCGCAAATTTTCTCTGCCGTGTGATAAAAGGTCGACTCTCTACAGCCCTCGACCTAGTCTCCCGACTTTTTCGCTCATGTTCATTCCCCCCCGCCCCCAGTTCTTGTCCCAACAACAAACAAAGCCTAATTCGAAAATAGTAGCCTAATTCGAAAATGATCACGTCATTACCTTAGATGTGACATGGGAAGATATTTTATGCAAATGTTATCTTGTTGTGATCTGACAGGTCTTCCACGTATAAAATTGTCAAAGTTATAAAGCTTTTTAAAAAATTGCCTCAAAGGATTCTGGGAGATTTTTTTTATGATAATTATAGTTTACTTTTATAATTATATTTAGAATAGTTTAATAAACCAACTGGAGTGTTTTCTCTTTTCTTTATGAATTATTAATATGATTTTTTAAGATAGACAATATGAGGATTTTATCACCCTTGCTTTAAAAGTGTGAAGACAAGAGCGGGAATTATATATAACTAATCTGCAAATGGTTATGAGCCACATTCCCTTCACATTTTAATGTCCAAGCCCCTGACATTTTTTATTCGTTCTTCCTGAATAACTTCACGTTGAAGGGAGACTTCTTAATATTAAACACGATGCTTTAATAACTCATTTTATAAATTTAAAACACGGTAATTTAAAGGAATTTGCTCCTAACTTTTAAGGGATGCCCCACTTTCTTAACGCCTTCAACAGGGAGGACTCAGTAGAAAAACGTGCTTAGTCAGAAGGGACTACAGTTAAACCTTTACTAACCGCCACATATCTCTTACCCCAAGATCAGTATAGCAATCAGAGAGGACGAAAAATGGCAGCAATCTTGTACAGCAGAAAATACTATAAAGGCCCCTAAGATTTGAAGTTTTTCGTATATGTGTGCCTTCCAAGGTCTTTAAAATGACACTCTATTCAAGGAAAAACAAAAATTTAGAAAATCTAATGACAGAACACAAATGCTAATGAAATCGCTTTAGTATTACTCTAAGAGATTGTTCAGTTTGAACAATAGCGATTACTTTTTCATCTGGCTGCTATAGCTGGACATTAACGCAGTTGAATTTCAGCTGATACTCCTAACAATTTAGGTACCTAGTCTTATAAGGATCAAACCGCGAACACAATGCCAACAAGGGTAAAAGTGATACCCTATTTAAGGTTCGCCTCAAAAGCAATACCCTATCGGGGTAACTTATCCCCACACCGTTGTGCTCGAAGCTTTGATCGATAATGTGAAGTTGAAAGCTTTTTACCTTTCTGTTTTGTGGAATTGTTACGCATGTACTTACAGCTTTTTCGACAATATTTCTCACACATTTTGTGAAAAAACGGCCATCCACTCCTTGGTTTGTCTTCTAAGGTCTTCACTTTTGACCACTTGTTCGGTCATCGTTCAGACTTTTTCAACAATTTGGCAACTGTTTTTTTGACTGAATGGCGAGAAGACCATAAAAATAGATGCCTGATCTCTAGCACAAACAGTGTAGGCCTTCGTTTTCATGAAGGAGTAGAGAAAATAAACGAAAACGATAACAATATTAAAATATAAAACCTACGAAATGGGCAGGAAAAGTATGGCGGGATAAACCTCGCGTACGTGTACAGTTGGGGTAAAAATTAAAAAAAATATATAACTTCTTAAAATTTTAGTTTGAAATTGCTTTGAACGGTTATTTAGATAAATTTCGTACCTGAATTAGTTTACATTTGCCTAAAGAAGTATTAAATGCTTTTCTCAAAATACAATTTACAATCGGAACGAACTTTGAAACACCCTGTATATGGAAGTAACCAGCCCGGACTCCGCTCCCACACGTTTGGGTGTCGACAATGTCTTTATCCAACAAAACGCAGCATTGTCATTCCACAAACTGCAACATCGTGAAACATTCGTTGAGCAACAGATTTTGCACGATGTTGAAAGGTGTGTTAGCAGCTTCAAGCAATGTATTACTTCTAAATGCATTCTGTTCCAGTTTATAGTAAAATCACAACGGAAAAATCATGCTTTGTTGCTCTTGCTGCAGTCACTGGTGTTCTATACAATATTCAAACGAATTTAGTAAAAGTAATTGAAACAAACTATTTCGAAAATTTTTTAGACGAAGGTTTGTGTTGCCCTTGATTGGAGATACTGCAATTTTGATTCAAGCATTACCTTAATCTTTTGACATTACCTAGTAAAAAAGAACAAGAAAAAACAAGAAATAGTAGCGCCGCAAAGTACTTTAAAAGAAAGGAAATTAAATCGTTTCATTTCCTACTAAAGAGGGTAGGTTATAACATTGCTGCGTTGTAAGAAGGGTTAAAGAAACTATCATCTTCAGGGCTTTATATTTGCAAATCATCGTCATCAGACGATTTTGCTGCTGATGCTCCCTTTGAATCATAACAATTTTATGCCAAGCAGTAGCCTCCTCAGAACTAAGCAAAACGTTTTTGTGATTACCCCAGGAAAAAAATATTAAGAGACCCCGTCAAAAGTCTAAACCGGTTCAAGTCTGAGAGTTTCAAACTTTCAGATCTTCACTTCTACATGGTTCGTGCAACTTAAGACAAACAATTTGCAAGGACTCTTCAAGGACAAATTACAGTTTTCAAGGACTAAGATTTATTCAATAAATCGACATTCTTCCTGTCTTCCCCCTTTGATCACCCTGTTGGCTAAAACAACTTGGAAGTCATGGAGTCATTTACGATTTATACTGCTGCGGCCATCGTTGATCACATTATTTCACACTACTTTCCGCAATAAGACTTCGTAAAACGACTGGGTATGACTTGCAGTTACATTTAAGGTACAGTAGTAGCATTTTGAAATAAAGAAACAGAAATAATATATTTTTCAAGGACAAAAACGTTTTAACGTTACCTGTGAGTTTTGCAGGTTCTTACACCGAGGATGAGCCAAATTTTCCTCGGCAAAATAATCTAATTCAACATAAAAAGGTGCCTGGCGTGGACGAGGCTGTGAATTTCAAGGACTTTTCAAGACCTAATAAAGAAATCAAGTACTTTTCAAGGACCTAAACATAATTCAAGGACTTTCAATAGAACTAGTAAAATTCAAGACCTTTTCAAGATTGTACGAACCATGCCTACATCTATACTCTAGACTTTCTATGTAATCCGTTCCAGTCAGCACATTCAATATAAAAACTATATTTGTTAAAATGTCTAATACAACAACATGGCTTGGTCCCGCAAATAGCCATGGAGCTAATCAAAGCGGAACGAGACAAAGGCAAACTTAAAGAAACGGTAAAAAAGTTACAATCACACGAAGAAAAAAGAGTCTACAAAGCATTTTGTGACCTTAAGCCACGACTTAGAGTTTGTTCACACGAATGAGGAACAGTCTTTGAAGAGATAAGATGAAGATGAAGATGTTCTCGCAGGGTAAGGCTCCTAAACCGCTCCATTTTCAAAAGAAGACAATGGTAAAACCGTATATGCGCTCATTGTTACCAAATGTTCTTAGTTTCGGGTATCCACAGCCTTGGTTGAACGTGGCGATCATCAAGTGCAGGATGTCTTTCTCCTCCTCCTCCTTGACCACTAATGGGAACGCTTCCAACCGTCAGAAAGACTGTTTGTTATTGAGTCTAACAGCACGGTTCACACCCAAGGCTGCCATCCAGGAAATAATCGACACAGATTCTTTGGATCCATAGCTTCTCTTATAAGATGATTAACCTGTCCTGATACGCTTAAGTGCACCCCATCTTCAATGCCGTCCAATTTCTGTTTCAGTCTTAAAAGCACCCTCTTCGCCATTTTGTTGACGTTATCTTCTGGTGCCACATTATCTGATGCCATGACGGAACCGTCAAGACAATCTCCCACAGCGCTAGAAGGAGGAACATCGTACAGATCTTCTGCTTTCTGAAGGGCTTTCCTTCTCTCTGGACTCAGTGTCCACGATGACAAAGGATCATAGAGCAAAACCTGACAACAAAAAATAAAAGTTAGCCTTCTTTTGAATTTGATATTGGGGACTGTCGTTAATTTTAAGATTTTGGGGGAAAACTGAGTCAGGTAAAGGGCCCGTCCTTAGTTCCCTAAACCACGATGTACCCTAATTTTTTTAAAAAATTAAATTCTCATTTGTTGCTCCTATACATATCCCATAGATATAAAGGGGAGAAGCTGTTACAGTATCGATTTATCTTTATTTCTCGTGACTACCCTTATTAATAAAGCATTGATATAACAAGAGGAGATTCGCCACAAACAACGAACACTCAAACTGGCGCAATTGATACAAAGCATTTACGTTAGTAGTATTGTAGGCACCGAATGATCCTTTTTTTGCACAGGAATCTCAGTAACTTGCGCAGAAATACAATACAGTGCGACTACTATTACCGGGGTAAGCTAGACAAAGTTGACCAATCGCATTACAGGAAAATAATAATACATCCCGAGCAAGTTAGCTGTCAATCATAACGACCAATTAAAACCCACAGACGTGACCTTTTGAACCTGCTGAAGAGAGCACCTGTTTCCCGAGAGGTCCGCTGTAGTGGGTGACTGAGGCGAAAAACGTAAACGGTAGTTATATTTTTGACTTGCGGTCTCACGTTACTGCAAAGCGAGGCAATAGGAGCGAAGAAATTGCTGGTAGATGACAAAAGAATAGCTTGTGTCAACGAAATGTCTCCTGGATATTGTATACAGAGTATCGAATAGAAAAACACTGTCTGGTGAAACATTTTGCTTTCCCTAAAAACGTTTGCTATAAATATTAATTTTTTTTGTTTTGAGTAACTAATTATTTTTTTAACGAGCTGCTGATTGGCCGACAACCAACGTTCTTGGGATTTATTGTTATTTTCTTGTAGTGCGATTGGTCAACTTTGTCTGAATGGCCCTGGTTACAGTAGTCGCACTGTTACGCCAATGACGTCGTAGCCATTTGTTTTAATCAGCTGAATAAAATATCATTATTTTGCGGGGAAATACATTAACGCTGATGACGTCATACTAAAATAGCCTTTTGTCTTTATCTCATGAACAACATGCGGGGAAATCTCATTAAGGCCATGTGCTCTTTTTGGGTGGCTTAACCGTGTCATGGCTTTCAACTGGTTGACTAGAAACTGAAAAAAAGTATTCATTAATTAATTTATGGTGTCGAAGGAATAAGCTCAAACTGGCCTGTGACTTTAAATCACTGAGCCGAAACGTATTATTGCAGACAGTTTGACTAACCCCTTCCCCTCCTCAATTCGATCGATTTTTTTCTCCATAAATCTCAATGGTTCATTGATTCGTCTGTTTCTATTGTAACGGGGATGATAACTACTTTGGGTTTGGTTGTACGACACTATAAAAAAGAAAACAACAATAAAAAAAGCGCGTACCTCCACAATAGTCATTAGTGATTCCTGTGACGTTCTCATGACCTGCATTGTTTTCTCACAGCATCGTCTCAACACTCCTTCCACCCCTGTCAGTCCCATGCCGTCCACCAAGTCACGTGTCAACCGAAATGGTACCGTCTCAGGGGTGGGGAGAAATTTACCTTGCTCAAACGCCACCCCTATGATTATTGACAGGCAAACAAGATTAGTTTTGCGCGTGTCAGACAGAAGAAACGTGTGATTGCAAATCAAACCGCGTAAATGCGGATGTTAACAGCGTCACGCGGACGTCTGCAGTTATTGCTTATTGATCAGAAGAAACTACTAAACATGCAGTGATTTTGTTAGAGGCAGTTATGGTGAATCCTGGGACTCAGTGAGAAATCATGAGTCCCCAGTCCATAACCATTGATTCCCATATAAAAAAATGAGTCCGAATTGAAAATGCTTGTGGCTGCATATGTAACCAGACAATTAATCTGAAGACAAACTCCAAAACGCTGTATTACTGGCAGTAAAATGAACTGAAAATATAGTCCTTCTTTTTTTAAAGCACAGCAAAGGTTAAAGGAAATACGCATCGTCAAACAACAGCTGTATAATAACTGCCACAGAAATTACACGAATTTGATTTTGCTACAGATACACATGTTCAGATCGATCAATCGATCTTTTTAGGTTTACCAACACAGGGTAGCCCAGGAGGAATGTGCACAAACGGGACTCAGGTCCTATGCGAAGTGCCATCCCTACCCAATCCCACAACCCGTAAAGGTTGGCCACACCACCGGGGTCTACGCCCCCTACTCTTTTCGAATAGTGGTGTAGGTTCTTTTACGTCCCACAAGAACAAATCAGTGCAAGTGCTGTGAGACGGGACTACGGGCTTTCGTCCTTATCCGAGAAGACTAGAAAGTCTAACCACTTGCAGATGTCATTACAAAGGCAGCGCTTTCTTCTCAGTTATTTTAAGACCCAGAGTGTTGTTCCGGCCGGGGTTTGAACCCGCGACTTCCCGCTCGTCAGACCGGCGCTCTCCCAACTGAGCTTACCAGGCGGCGCTTAAATGTGTCCTACGGGAAGCACGTCATGAATTATTTTGCGTCTTTGGGGATTTTTATGCGTCAGGGACACAGGAAACAAAGGGTAACAAAATCACTGAACACGTTGGGCCAAATAGTTTGAAACTACGGCAAAAATCCTGTCTTGAATCAAAGAATCGGAGTCATTACTGATTTCTAATTGATGAGTTGTTTCACAATCCAGTTCGAGGGGAATAAATCACAAGAGTTGCACGAAACTCTTGCTGGTCGACACAGAATAAAAATTCCTTCTCTTACCCAAGTCAATGTGTACTAGTTCGGCTGTATTGCAGTCCACAAGAATATTCTGCACGTGACGGTCTCCCAAACCAACAACGTAACCAACTAGATGTGACACGGGAAAAAGGATAAGTAGTGAGACTTAAATCAATCCTGACTTGAGTGTTTTTTCGCGATGAGAGCCAGTTACGTTTACTTGGTTCAACAATTTGTTTACATTTTTGGCTGAGGCTTAACGCGCTTCGTTACTATGATATTGAAGTTTTAGGTCTATTCTGTGCTTAACTTACATTTGCTTAGTGCCTTTACCCAGTTGGCTTATTTTTCATTCCGTGTCTATTCTTTCCATAACGGCATATATAGTGTTAAATAACAATTCTGGGACATTATTTTTGGAATTTAATTACAGCGAAGACACGATTTAGCTTTTTAAAAAGATAGCAACTGGCGAGATATAAAGCCCTGGACAAAACATCTTGGGAGACTTGAGGGAATTTGGCGAGAAGACTCGCCTTGGTAAATTAACTCGTATTCTACCCTTCAAAAAAAAAAAAAGAAAAAACGCTTGGAAATAAACTGTTTCTGCTGTCCCCCTCTTGACTGAATACATTGACTTGAATGTATTCACACTGGGTAGAAAAAATGAGCCATTTTGACGAGCTATTGCGTTAGTGCCCAAGAGTTTTGACCAGGATTGTAGTTAGATGACAACAGTACCTATGGATGAGGTGGCAACTCCTCTGGTGTAAGTTAGCCTTCTCTCGAACCACACAGTAGGATCCCGAAACCTCTCCAGAAAGAAGTGACGGAACACTGGGTGGAAATGTTCCATTAGCTCCTGTGCAAGAAACAACGAAGAGTGCGAATATCAGATTAACAAACAACAAGTTACAGTACATCTTTAGGGCCATTTTCACCCAAGAAAAAAACACCTAAGGGGCCTAAGGAACGGGTAAAAGACTTTGTCACATTGTTTTCTTTTGCGAGATGGTTACCGAAAAGAAGGCGCGCGTTTACACGATGAAAATGAGGAGGAGCTCGTCAAAATTGCAGCAAATGAGACGCGTCTAAACTTCAAATGAACTGGAGTGTAAGTGTCTTATTCCTATGACCACAGGTAGAACGCACTGGAACCGCTGGCCTTCCTTTCGTTCCGGTGATCAAATCCGTCTTGCTATTCCCGATCCAACCACAATTTCCAGATTTTTGGACAAATGGTGAACAAGCTACAGCAACAATGAAATAAAGGTTTCAACCCTATTAAAAACTCAAACAGGAACCAGGTCTTAGTATCTACTTGTGTACGTAATGCCAATTACTACTTTCATTCAACATACCCGAGTATTAAACAGTAACTCTGAGATGAGGGGAAAATGTATGTAGGACTGACTATCTGGAGGGGCCACTTTTGTCAACAACTGACAGAAAGAAGGCTGACAGAACAATACAAACGAACGCTAGACAGACGATTAACTTTTGTCTTTCTCTATACCAGTCTCACTGGTCTATGAAAAAATTCTGTTCTCTTCCACAAAATGATACCTTTAATTCTCTAAATCCCAGAATCACCTTCCTAAATATTTCTTATCCCGCTGTTTATATTTTCACGAGTATCCCTTCTCGATAACAGAACCTCATAAACGAAGATAACGCTGTGAATATCTTACAACTTTAAACATTCGCAAGAAGTGTGTATACTTTGCACTTCAAAGAAGAAGCATGGCAACATACTTGGTAGACTTCATATCTTGGCCTTCCAGCATCGTCACCCATCTGATGATAAAAACACTTTCATATTACAATAAATTACCCATGATAGCCGGAATATGTATTTTCAGAGGCGATAAGTTTTCAACTATTTATTACTATGGCCATCCTTCTTTTTCCGTTTAGCTTCGAATGCGTTTCGTTTCTCAAAGCTGGCCATAGTGCTAATTTGAAACATTCAAAGTACACATGAAGACAACTTATCGTCCGAAGTGAAATGTACAAAATCATAACATCGAAAGCTCTAGGCAATCGCGGAACGGGAACGATCTACGACAATTGTCGTTTTGATATCGAGCACTTTCGTGCGGAGCCGACTAATTACTAACGGTGTATACACCCGATTGATACATTTGCATATCGCAGTGCCCACAATAATTTGTTCCTTACGCTACGCGTAATCCACAAGTTAAAAACATGGAAAAAGAGATGCACTGCCGAAACTATAATGCCACCAAATGCTGTTACAATGCTCATTTCTTTAAAATGAATGAAAAGGTTTCACTAAGTCGCTATATTATCGGGTCGGTCGGATGATGCTAAACGGAGATAAAAGAAGTGCATGGCCTATGAACAAAAGTAAAGACAGGGTTGTTTGCGTCCACAGGCGATTGGATACGCCGCTCAAAGCAACAAACTTGCCGTTCAATATTGCTCACTGTGCAACTCTTTTAAGCAAGCAGCAAAATTAAACTCCAACGTTTGTCCACAGTACCTTGACTCTCTTTCGGCAGTCAAGTGATGTCCAGTCTCCCGGATAGTAACGCGAATGAGCGCCTGTCTTGGTACCAGGCCTTCCGACAAGATACTCGCCCAGAGGCATAGTATCCTCGCACCACTCAACTATTCCACTGCGCTGTGATAAAGGTATGACCTGGTGCAATACAAGACAAAGAGAGGAGAGGGTGAAATGAGATAAAGCAGTACTCCTGACCTGGGCACTAAGGTTCCACTAAGAGAGAATGAAATCTTAAGAGTTTTCTAGGGAATCATTGGCGCCGACCTGCACCTTTCCAAACAAGGTTTGTGATTTGCTGGGAAAACAATAGGGATGGTGACATATCAATGCCCCTATCCCTGAAAACAATAGGTAGTGCAGGTTATAGGGATCACTGAAATAACAGGTTTACATGGGTGCAGGTTAATTGAAATCATCGACTATATACCACACTCTGATTCACCCTGTGGCATGAATACGACTAGAAATTTTCTAGGAGAAGGAAGAAAAAAACAGCATTCAAGTAAATTTCACGGACCTCGACAGCAAACGACTAGAAACTTAAAAGATTCCTCGAACTTTCCAGAAACACCACGAGCACGGTAAACCTAATTTTAAGCAAGTCAGCGAAAAAGGAAGGAACGACATGAAAGCATTGTTAAGCAATTGCCGCATGACAGAGTTACTTTTCATCTCCTTCAATGTTCTCAAATAACGTACGGATTTTATCCGAACACAAAAACCAAAACCACTGAAGAAAAAAGCGCGTTGGAGACATGCTCGTCAGAGAGTGGAAACAGAAAACAATCAAACATGATAAGTATACTGTCTACCAATGGCACATGCGTTCGCACAGTGAACAAATCTTGTAAAACGCGAAGATAACATCTTTCACTAAAACGAACGCACCTCATCATATACTTGAAGCAGGAAACAGATCATGATTTTGTCTATACTTTACGCTAAAGTTTCAGTACCTTTGAAAATAAAAGGCTTATTCAAAACAAGACAACACGACCAACAGTGTAAGATTTCTTACAACGATAATACCTTGTACGTTCTCATCTTTAGTTTCCTTTTTCTTGTTTCCGAGTTTTTGATAAGTAACTGGTTCACCATTCCAAACACTTGTTCCATAACAGCGTCTTGGCGCAAATCGTCTCTTCCCTATACAGATAAAAAAAAACCCACCGGATCAAAAATACTCAAATGTTCTAGATTTGTTACGCTGCTTAAAAGAGTTCTTGCGTCCCTTAACCTTCAGTGAGAAAAGGAAACATTTATCTACATAAATAAACCGATAAAAGTGTCGGACGTCCAAAAGAACTTCTGAATCTAGAGTGGCTTTTCACTCACTATTTACAACTTCCTGCCACTTGAAGTCACGTCCCATCACGTGGTGGTATTCATTTAAACACTGAAAGCAATCCCTCACTTTTTTTAAGTGCAAGGCGCCGCCTGTTTACATTTTCGAAAAACTGGGTGGTTCTCTAACTGTTACCTTCTAATGTTGTGATGACCCAGAATGATTACCAAAACACACTATTTTGTGTGTAACAAACGCACCTTGACCAGCTGCCGTCGTTTGACTCCGTCAGATCCAATGCAAAATATGATCTTAGGAAGATTCACTCCTCCAGCGAGACAGAACTTGGAGTCAAATCTAACCACATGAACAAGGTCATCGTATCGACATAATGGGTCGACCTGATGAAGAAACAAGTTAGACCGTTAGGAAGATAATGTATTCAACGTGATAAAGAGAAATGTAACGAGGACACGACCGTTAGGAGAAGGTAAAAAAATATCTAGCTCCGGATGGGAATCCAAACCCAACACTTAAAAGATAAAGATGGTAGACATGGGCCATTTACCTGCACTTCTAAAGTTGGCACCGGCACTTCCTTTAGGTTTGAAATTCTCTTGATCGTGACATCCTGCAAGTTAAATGGACCTAAAATGTGCGAGAAAAGTTGTTTAAGAGGCGGGGGAAGCGGAAAATGAGGAAACCTTTCGCTTGAAAAAGTTTACACCATGTTTATAACGATAACGCACCTCTTTCGTTCTTTAGATGTTGGACATTGACATAGGCAAGTTCAATGTACGCTTCACACAAACATCTCATGTTATGTACAAGTTCTCCGCGCTGTTTTCCAATCCTATCAATTAACTCACAAGCTGTTTTAATGCGAGCCTAAAAATGAAAGGAAAAAAAAATGTAAAATAGTAATTTACTTTGCCGTTGTTGCACAACTACAACGCGTAACCTACTAGTTTCTCGTTTTATGGAGGACGTAAACACAAGGCAACACTTTTTAGATACAGTCCTTCATATTTCCTTCAGAATCAACGTCCATAAGGAATAAGGGAATAAGAGTAACACGTTTGAAACAGCGCGAATTCGCTTTTAAACTGAAGTTTCCGCTGCCGTTGCCTTCCTGGTTGCTTAAGCTCTCCACAGCTTAACAGAAATCGTGGTACTTGTTGACCAAAATACCTCAGTGAATCCGCTGCTCGCCTCCTTAGAGTTATTTCTTGTAAGCCTCGAGGCAGTTGCGTTCTTCTTGCCACCAGTTAGATATTTGTTATCTTTCTCAGCATTTGCGAGTGCAAATAGGATGAATAATGTGTGGTGAGGATGGTCAACTGCTGTTCTTTCAATAAGCTGGAAAAAACATATTATTATTGATCTTAAGTTTCTATTCCCTGTTAGCAGAGGTCTCACACGACAAGAGAATAATGATAGGAAAGAGAAACACATCTGCTGGTCTCCGATGCGTTTTCTATCATGAATGCCTTTCCTCAACAACCAGTAACGTTTTTGTAACGTGCGAAATAACTTACAGAACCGGTTTTTGCGCGATAACAACTGCAGGCCAAAACCATTTCCAGCCTGCAGTCTTAACAGGGCAATCGCATTCCACATGAAACGAAAACGGTTTTGAAAACCAGTAAGTTTCGACCACAAATGTGGTCGGCGGCTACGTGAAAGAAAGCGTTAGGACCGGCGGAGGTCTCTCTATTTCCTCTCCTTCTAATCTCTTGCCGTGAGAGACCTATGCTAGTATGGAAATTTTTCTACAGTAACGGTTCTCAAAAAAAGGGTCTTTCCTCCATCTCCATCAGTCTGGAAAAAGGAAAACCTTCCACAACTGCAAATAACCATCAGAGTGATCCCTGGTAAGCAGTTCTGTACTCTGTGAAGGTGCAAAGCCGGGCAAGATCAAAGAACTGTACATCCATACTGGTCTTTATAAATACGCTCTTATTCAGATTAGTGTTGGCAAAGTCAAGTACAGCAGTAGATGTAACGAAACACGGCAGTGAGTAATGGACAGAAGTGAGCATACCTCGTTAAGAGTTGCCTGGAATAGGGGATTATCGTGTGACTTTGTTCCAAGCCTAGCAGCTAGTTGATACATCAGAGGAAGACACTTGCGAGATTCAATCTTCGTCACTCCGTCCTAAAATCATACCAAACAGAGAGGGAAGTACTTTTATTAACACTATTGATATTATGCACAAGGGTCCTTATCTTTGACACGTTTATTAAGTTTAAGATAGCAATAACGATAAAGGCGGACACAGGTTCAATCTCACCAATTATTAGTGAAACAATAATTTTGTTTGAAGAGTGTTTTTTTTTTCAACAACTGAAAAACCTTCCTTTAAACACATCTAGATGAAGAACGACGATGGACAATGGTAAATGGTTACAAACAAACCTTGATCATCTGCGAGACAAACTCTTCCTTTGCGTTGTCAAACCAGAGGGAACAAAGCCTGAACACTCTCATGTCATACTTATCCTAAAAACAGGAAAAAAACAAAGATAACATACCAACTAGCGACGAGAATTAAAAGGCTAGCCATTACACATTCAGTACTTTTCAATTGCCTTTTCAAATGCTTTATTTAACGTTCTTTTTTCAGCACACCTGACACCTGAGAAAAGCTTATCTTACTCCGTTAGTAAGAACAAAGTGAGACGGCAGTTTATATATTACCTATTTATATGCTTTTGTCACACAAGGTGACAAAGTCTAAGTCATTCAATTCAGACAACCTCATTTACGCTGCAAAGGACGGGATATGGGCTTATTACTATCATCATCATCATCATTATTGATGGGAAGGGGAGGGGAGGGGAGGGGAGGGGCTGCAGTTATTGAGTTTGCAAGAATTAAGCATGCAGTCTTTCCAACCTACCCCTGTCTGCAGTGTTTTAATGTAGTACTCAACAGCCGTTTTCAGGAATGTCCGTTTGTCGTCCACCACTTGTTGAAGTTCTCTTTCATCCATCTGAGCTTGTAAGTTCAGGGTTCGTGCATACCTGTCTTTTCCGGATTCAATAACTCGCTGAAGACGTTCCGATTCCACCTTAAAACAATAAAGGAGAATGATAAGGCTTTTTTGAAGTTTTGGTGGAAAGACATATGTCCGACCATCACACCTTCCTTGGCGAGGAAAAAAAAGAACGGCTTTCGAATACACATTAAGTGACTTCAATGTTCTACAATAAATAAGCAAAACGTTTGCTACAAAATGTTTGAGGTGTCTAGTAACCATGTCTAACCGCAGGTATACTTTCGTGCGACATTGCTAAACTTTAATCGGACCATAAACTTTTATTCGCAAATTATCAAAGCAAAGTAAACCTCACAGTTAGTCTCAAACAATTACCTTGGCTTTTTTCATCAAAGCCTCTTTGTTTTCGTAAGTGCTCGAACTCATGAAATCCACTTTCTTCTGGTACTGTGTGTCTGCAAACCAGGCGAGAGACAAAAAGGCCTACACAGAAACAAACACAAAAAGAAAGAAAACGTAAGAAAATGCAATTTTATCACTTTGGTAATTCTCTTGAAATTGTTCTACTATCAAACTTTTTTTTGAAACTTGGCATAATCAACATTCATGATATGAACATTAAAAAATGCAATAAAAAGATGGGGTCACCGTGCTTGTTTACGCGTCAGCAGGCTCTTAAACTGGGGTATTTTTACTGATTGGGCGTTAAAAATTCGAATCACCTTCATGCAGAATAAAAACTTTGTTACTTGAAACACACAAAATTTTATCTTCAAAATAAGGCTTCTTTTATTCAAATAAGCAGTATTGCTTAATTTAAGTCGTTTTTGATTGCCTGGTTGTACTGATATTGCATTCTTTCGGACAGTTCCGTGGTTAGCTTGAAGTCCTCGCCTTGGCCCAAATACTCCCAGTACGGAACTATTTTCCAAAAAAATCATGTTCTACTATCAAACTTTTTTTCTTTTTCAAATATGTTCTTTATTAGACTGTTCTCAGCAATTACCTGAAAAAAAAAATCGGGGGTCACCGTGTTTGTTTCCTCACAAACTGCCGTCAAGGGTGGGCATGGTTTTGAGATCGCAGTCAGGATGGAGAATTTGTGCGGCGGGATTTGGGACGAGAAATAAAGCCAATCTTGATCGGAGTACGCACTCGAGATCAAGCTTGTTTTCGGTTGTTTTTATGTGTTTGATATCGCCAACACAGAAATTCATACTTGGATAGAGTTCAACAAATGCAACGGAAGAAGGTTAGTCAAGATTTTATGAGATTTTGACTTTATGAATCTATATTTTGGACTGTTTTGTATCGCTGGCGTTTTGTGGTCCAATAAACTAGGGTTCGACTTTTTGGCTTTTGTACAACAATGCTTGACAAAGAAACTTAAAGAAAAGACTGTTGATCGATTCCTGTGCTTCATATGTTCTCTTGTTTGGTTTCTATACACAGCAGAATGTAAATTCAGCAGAAAACTTCGTGTTTACATCAAAGAGCGGTCTTCCTCGCGTGGTTCCGGTGTTACGGCGGGTCTTATTTATTTCTTCGACAAATATTCGTCTCTCCACGCTCGGACTTTAAACAACATGTGTACAGTAGCGATTCTAGGCCAGACACTGTCTCGTTAATGCAGCTGGGAAGAACCGCCGCCAACTTGGATGTCGCAATATTATGCGCAGTAGAGGGGCGCAGTGCAAAACAAGGGAATTACCTCTAGGGCGTTTAGGAAACAGGCACATAAACAGACAAACATATAAAAAAGAAACGAAGATACATTAAAAAGTATAATAAAGCAAGCAAGAATATCAACAAAAAATACAATCACAAGGGACAAGATAATCAATTTGAGCACCTCGATCCTTGACGCATCATTTCCGCCTTCCATACACTCCATTAAACAAGCCGCCTGACAAGCAAAAAAAAGAAACAGTGCCATGATTAAAAGAGCCCGCAATGCAGATAAATGACATGATGTTGGTACGAGAAACTCCGAAATAAAACTCGTGTATTAATCATAATTTGAGGAGGTTTGTCCAATATTGACATGCTACAATAGTCCATATAGGCAACGATCCTATTCCTGTAGGTTTTACGATCGCAAACCTCGCAGTCGGTCCTTATAGAGCTGCAAGAAGTCCGTAGATTGAATTGTGTTATTAGCACTTGCTCTTACATTACGATCAGAGTGGGTACATAAGATTCACTTGTCCAAATATGTTAAGCATCGAGAGAGTAAGCTTCCGTTTAGAGATGAAAACGGTCGGTAAGTTGAAGCGAACGGCTTAACTTGTGCATTTTACTGTTAGAAATTACGAATTTTACCTTCTCTAAGTAATCTTCAATGATGGTGTTAGGATTCTCCGACTTAGATTCTGCCAGCCAGTTTCCATACAAGCCCAGAGCTTGTGGGTAAAGGACTGAGGCTTCAGGGCTGTGATCACGAACCTGCAAATAAGTATCAACACGACAGAGGTGACTTTGAATACATGAATTCTCTGTATTAGATGGGAATAAGGGAATTTAAGATGTCACGACGTCGAAGCAATAAGAAAGTCAAAAGAGCAGTTCGTTGAATGAGCAAAACAACAACTCTAAGCTGCAAGAGCATCACACCTTTTGGAACAATATTGTTTGCAGTAACCAGACGTCTACCATACTGTAAAAACCATACCTTACTAAGGTCAAAAAATGCTTACCAAAAGTCTACCTCGGTAAGATGATTGCCTACCTTTTGCCCCCTCGAGGGTGACATGCCTCTGCATTGTACATGCAAATTCCTATAAACCTCTCCGGTTTCCCATCCCAAAACCTCCCCAAACAAAGAGTGCTTTCTAACAGCAGTCTATATCCTTTTAAAGTACTATTCTAAGGCACACTAACTGGATTCTGTACCTTTTCCAGTTGTCTACCCAATGACTTTAGTAAGTACATAGCTGTATCCTGTTCCCCTTTGGCCCATCGTAACTTTGCTTCCTCCATTTTCCACGACCATGAAACCCCGAGGTCCTCTCCTCCAAGCCTACTCTGCACATCTGTTATGTCACTTTGTAGTTGTCTTATTCGAAACAAGGCTTTCTCAGCAACCTGTGTCCACGGATGAACACGAATAAAGAGTTAATTAGACTTTTAAAATGTCTAAGTAGTATAGTTGGGATCATTTGAGCCCAATTTCTAAGTATCCACTTTCTTGAGGGAAAGAAAAATTCAGGCGTCAGCTAGGAGTCCGGAGTTTGTAATACCGTATAAGCATTAGATCTAAAAAGAAGGTAATATCGAAAAGGCCGTTTGATGACAAAACGGTTATTTGGGAGCTAGTTCAAGTGTTTTCCGCCCGAGTCTTGAAAATAAATTGCCATGTATTAGATAGTTTTCAATTCCAGTTGCCACTTCAGTGTCAAGAACTAAAAGCGACGACTATAAACGAAGTAGAAATAATTAAAGATGATAGGAGAGCGTTCCACGAGGTCAATAAATCGTGATGGGGGGTAGGGGGTAGGTAGGTGAATGGTAGGGGTGAGGGCAAGACGGTGTGCGTGGTATTAATTGAAGCGGAAGGGAGACTGATGTGATAATTCTAATTCTTGTTCTTATTGTGTAACCTGCGAAAGGAAAAACCCATCAAATTGAATTTTTGTGACCTCACAATTCTCTTCTCAAAGTCGTCTATGTACATGTATTAAAAACAGCAAGCTGTACCTGTGGATTATTTGCCCTCCGTGCGACCTTTGCTTGCATTTCCAAATGGGTAGCCAGATCCTTGTAAGCTCGAGCAAGCTGAAGGATTCCTTCAGGACTGTTAACCTTGTCTTGTCTTAGCTTGACAAGTGTTTGGAGCATGGAGGTTCGGAGAGCAAGCAAAGGCGCCAAAAATTCAAAGTCGTTGTCAGGGAGTGGAAATCGTTCATTCCACATCTCAACCATGCTGGCATCCTTACTAAAAAAAATTAAAAAGGTTGAGGTCGTTAATTCAGTGGCAAATGTGTCAGCGAGAAACGTGAAGAATAGGTATGACTGTGTTATGGCATCTGCAAGGATTTGGAAACCAATAAGTTATTACTTTCTGAGGCCTCGGTTAAAAAATTAATAGCCTCTTTGTAGAATGGACATTAGGCCACTTTTTATAAGGAAATCTACCAACAGCTTCAAAAGGTAAGCACTAAGATAGACTACCAAAGAAAGAGACAGAATGGGCGCCTTAAAATGAACCTGGCGAAGAGATATGATGACTGATTGGGAAGAAGTGGAAACACAACTGGACCATTCTGTTGATGTTAGCCATTAATAAAAGTCAACGAAGACCTAAGCTCCACTTAATGCAAAATGGCTTAAGTAACAGTACTATGCAACAGTGCTTCCAGAGAGGTTTTAACAGGATTTTCTCCCCACGGTCGAAAGTTAGCACTGTACTTTATAACTAGAAGTGCAAGTCAGGGCTCGTTAAAAGTTTGAATTCCAGCTTGTCCTTAGGGGAGGCCGCTCTCACATTTAGATTGCCCAGGGCCACTTTTTGCTCGTCTTAGTTAATGATTTCATTAGAGGATGAGCGGTTTGGACCCCTTCCCCACTGGGCAAGTCAGCTTTAAAACTGTTACTTGCCCAGCAAGAGAATCCACTTGTCCCGGACTACCTTACGGGCCTTTTTTCGAGCCCTGCAAGTGTCGCAAAACCTCGCGGGGCTCGAGGAAACGATCCAACGATTATACATGAAGAGGGAGAAAGCCAAGAAAGAGAAAACTAATAATTTCCTTGGCGTAGCGAGAACTTGATCGATCGTACGACAGGTAAACAGCTATGCCATTACACCAGGGAATCCTACACTCTCGACCGAGATAAGCGATTCCCGCAAAATCCACGTTCGACGCAAAAATCAACAAATGTACAAATTTCACCACGTGAGGAATTTTTGTGCCATCTTTTTGTATCTCTATCCTCTGTAGAGGCCTCTTTGTATCGTAAGGAGGCTGGGGAGAGGAAAAGAACCGCGTTTTATTCTCTCTTCCCATGGTCAACCGTGCACTTACATCATTACTATTTTTATTGCAATACCTAGCGGGAGCCTCTACGGAGATGACAGAATGTTGGAAGTTAATTGCGACCTACCCGTTAATGGCAAAGCCAAAACTCTCTAGTTCCACAACACACTGCAGCCGTGTCAAGGCAGGATACACGCTGCGTACGCTCTCTAAGCTAACGTGCGCTACTTCGTCCATTATCTGCAATCTAAATTTTCATTTACAATTAATTTCAAGTTTAGAAGAGAATACTTTTAAATTTGAAAACAGAAACAGCAAATCAATAAGATAGCATACTACATGTAGATGCGAAAAAGTATACGTATCGTAACAGAATAGTAGCTAAACAACTGCAAACTGTAATCACAATTTGTGAGATAAAAAGAAAGCGGCAGTTACTCGAGTTTCACGCACGCAGGCGGTAGCGGTCAACACTGTCTGATGATGATGATCAAAGATTGATAATCGCTTAGCGCGTCAGATTCGATTAAGTGCCGCTTATTTTCTTGATCACGCTTTTTTTTCTGGATGTATTTGCATCGAGCAATACTGTGAAGACATAAAGCAACCAAAATTTTTTTTTGTTTACGAAATGTAAACCACATTGTGAACCCAGAGAAAAAAATCATATCTCAACGGACAGAGAGACTAGAGAAAAAAAAACCCATCAATATCCAGGAGTTGTTGGTGCATAACTGGAAAATTGTAGGATCGTGTCTTAGACAATTGGATTCTTTCGCATTTGTCTTCAAAGATCGCCTATAAGGTATACTCGTTACTTAATTGCTAACAGCACGTTTAGGCTTATGTATGCCGGTATTTGACGTTGGCACACATAATGATGACACTCCAAACTCTTTATCATTTCCTTACTTTGAATTGTCTACCCTACACTGAAACAGTTCCCATTCTTCCTCTTGCAAGGCACACAGAGAACCATACAAAGCCTGATGAAACCCTTGAGGCCTGTCTGAACCAATCCTGTGAAAAAGAAGTAAACTCTGTTGGCGATGAGAAAAGATGTAACAATGAAGTGCTGTAGGAATAAGCACACCACAAGTGACGGTTTTTGTGTATGTGTTTGGTAAAGACTGTGAAATCTTTTTGGGCTGTCTAGATCGACGCCGCAAGGTAATGAGTAAATGACCATCCTATTTTTCCAGAGCAATTCGACTAGGAACTTTCGGCCCAAAATAACGGCCGGTCAACGGAAAACGTCCGACCAGAATGGCGTCTTGACCGGCCAAAAACTTCACTCGCCGGTCATGTTGATCGGTGCTTTTTTTATTACGCTTTAGAACGGAGCGGTAGAATTTTAACTACGCCTTTCAAAAGCAGGTTCACAGGGAAAAGGTCTTCCTTTTACATTTCATGTAATCCCGAAGTAACCAATGACTGTGCGCGTTGTTGGGGAAACATTTCAACTATATAACGAAGACAGCGAAAAAATAGCAGGGAGAATGTGCAAACAACTCTGTTTTTTTTTTTCGACAAAAAAAAACAAAGAAACAAAAAAACAGAGAGAAAATCAATGCTCCAACCTGGTGTCCAAATCCCACACGCAATTCTGCCAAGCTGATTCATACTGCAGCTCTGCAACCTACAATGACAAAAACAAGTTTGTATCACTGTAAGTGAGCTACATGTACTTCTCCCTTCCTTTTAGATGTTGAAAGAACGTATATAATGAAATGCAAAGGATTTATTTCTAAAGAAGTGTGAATATTTTAATCGTAATTTCTTCGTTTGAAGATCCCCCATTAGTAGATTGTGTTCGAGAGAAAAAGGTTTCGCCATTTTCTCACACGTTTCAGTTGGAGTGTACCAACGCAGCTAATTTATAACCCTGAACGGAAACTCAGTCAATCACAAAAAATAAATGTTAAAGATTAAACACTCCAACAAAGCGATGAGTATTACTCGATCTCTTCTAAGAAGTACCTTATTTACATGTAACCCAAATGTTAACCTGTTATAAATGTCCCTAATACTGACCACGAACAAGAACTTTTTAAAAATACGATACATCGCAAGCATCGTCAATACTCCAAACTGACACATCCAAAGCGTGAGATCTTACACATACCAAAGCCATACATCTTATGGTTTGAATTCCAGCCGCTGATTCACTTATCGATAAAAATGCAAACAATGTTTTATGGAAATACTGAAAATCATATTTATACCTCGTCTGTCGCCTGCGGATCCTCCAATGGCAGCCCCTTTAAATACACTCTCATTACATGATCCAAACCAAAGTTCTTCATGGCCTAGAGACAAGGTTAAGACTTCTTGAGCCCTTTTCATAACATAAGTGATCTTATCATTACTCCTAGCCGTTTTTCGTGAAAAGGTCTACATCTATTTTTTTGTCTGTGAGAAGGTAAGCATATTATTTTTGAGTTACATTCTCGTTACACTGACTGGGACATTACTGCATTGTTACCAAGCAAATCAAGCCAAAAGACATCTGAATTCCTCAAATAGTCAGTCTAAATATATAGTAGCTCAAATCTTTACCTGCAGAAGGCCTGTTTGTGATGAAACGGAGACATTCTGCATTCGAAGGTCACAAGCTCCTAGATAAGAAAGTAACGGAATAAACCAACCCAGTCTGGTTTGTAGAAGTGAATATAATGAAGAATGAACCAAAGGACCAAACAAAAAAATTGCTGAAAAAATGTTTAAAAAGCCACTGACTAT